CATGAGAGCATTATTTTTGAATAAAAATCTATTTATTCTGAATAAAAATGAATTACACTTTAAAAGGAGCATGTAAACACTTAATTCCTAATGAAAATTATTATAAACTTAATTCCAAATTTTCAACTTAATTCTGAAGTAAGTGGGTGGTTTATTCCAAGTTTAAAGCCCAATTCATGTATTTCTTGATCAAGTAAACGTTTATTCTTCTTAAAAATAATGTTGTTCAGCGCATGCTCATTGTGTCACCCTTCTGAAGCGATCCAGATGATCCAACTCCATCCACATCTCTTTGGATTTGTGAGCGGGATGTGGGAGTGCGCTGAGGTAGAGCAGCCTCACACTCATTTTTTCTTTGTCCTCCTTCTTCGACACTCTTCCCTTCTCCTCCTCAGCTGACAGACGTAAAACGTGATGAGAGAATTCTCCACCTGCTGCGCATTATTTCCATGTAAACTCAAAGGAGATTATTTTAATTCAGAACTATTTAATTCGGAATTTAAAAAAAAAAAAAAAACATGGCCAGAACGTGGCCAGTGTGGCATAAAATTTACTTCAATTACTGGTGCTTTTATTACTCAAAAATACCTTAAATGGCCCATACTACTACTACTATCTATGTTTTAATGTAGTTTCCTCATCACAAACAGATCTGGAGTTGTGTTTTGTTTCATTCACAAATGTTTAACACACAAACCCTGCACATTTAGGCTTCTTAGTTCTTCTTTGAAACAGAAAACACTTTTTTCTGTGTTGTGAACAATGTGTGTTTTTAAACTTCATGCACATTCAATAGAATCATTTGGATTCATTTCAGACCTGGAATTGCCAATCTCTACTGAAATAAAAGTAAAAGAAGCTGTTAAAAACTACCACAATATGACATCACAAGCTGGAACAGAGCATTTTGAGCTTCGGAGATGTAAACAGACTAATAATAAAGCAGGGTGACCAGATGTCCCTGTGTCTCTGTGTCCCATGCCCCAGCAGATTTATCCAAAACCATTCACTTGTCCCTGTTTAAGAAATGTCCCAGTTGTCCCAGTTTTTCACCAATCTGATCCACACTAACAGTAAAGAGAGGCATATATTGTCATTTGTTCAGCTAAAATACAAAAAACTGAGCTTGAAAATGATCATAAGGAGAAAAAATGCACCAACAAAAGTTCCAGATTTTATACTGTTTTATAATGAACAATCTAGGCAAAGCTCTGCCGTTTTCAGTCCTGAGGAATTTTCAAAGCAAAGAATTGGAACGCCGACAATCCTGGTTCATGTGACTGATGTGTGAACGCTCCAAAAAACTTATAAATACATAAAACACTGATTCAAATAAAAATTTCATAATCATAATCATAATAATACAGTTACTATACATATATATAATATTGGTATTATTATTATTATTATTATTATTATTATTATTATTAAGTATCTAGTGTTGTAGTCAAGACTGCAGTTATTGAGACCAAGACCAGTGCAAGACCACAGGGTCCCGAGACTGAAACAAGACCAAGATCTCTGAGGGTCGAGACCGAGACAAGACCAAGACCAACTGTGTCCTTTTCCACATTTATTTGTATTTTACAGTTATTTAGGTGCATATATATTAATGTTTTTATGAATCTTTCTCCATTTTATCTGATTAATGTTCATTTAGGCTTCAAATAGGCTGCACTATATACTACTATAAACACTCTGTGCCCCTTTTTTGGACCTTCACCCACAGTTTGAGAACCCCTTCTTTAGTCCCGCCTCCACTGGCACTTTACACAAAACAACAAGTTCATAACATTTACAGTTTCGTTATCTTACTGGTTACCGAGACAAGACCGAGACCAAGCTCCATCAAGACCGAGACAAGACCGAGACCAAGCTCCATCGAGACCGAGACAAGACCGAGACCAAGCTCCATCAAGACCGAGACAAGACCGAGACCAAGCTCCATCAAGACCGAGACAAGACCGAGACCAAGCTCCATCAAGACCGAGACAAGACAAGACAAACCGAGACCAAGCTCCATCAGACAAGACCGAGACAAGACCGAGACCAAGCTCCATCAAGACCGAGACAAGACCGAGACCAAACACCATCAAGACCGAGACAAGACCGAGACCAAGCTCCATCGAGACCGAGACAAGACTGAGACAAGACCGAGACCAAGCTCCATCAAGACCGAGACAAGACCGAGACCAAGCTCCATCAAGACCGAGACAAGACCGAGACCAAGCTCCATCAAGACCGAGACAAGACCGAGACCAAGCTCCATCAAGACCGAGACAAGACCGAGACCAAACACCATCAAGACCGAGACAAGACCGAGACCAAGCTCCATCGAGACCGAGACAAGACCGAGACCAAGCTCCATCAAGACCGAGACAAGACTGAGACAAGACCGAGACCAAGCTCCATCAAGACCGAGACAAGACCGAGACCAAGCTCCATCAAGACAGAGACAAGACCGAGACCAAATGCCATCAAGACCGAGACAAGACCGAGACCAAGCTCCATCAAGACAGAGACAAGACCGAGACCAAATGCCATCAAGACCGAGACAAGACCGAGACCAAGCTCCATCGAGACCGAGACAAGACTGAGACAAGACCGAGACCAAATGCCATCAAGACCGAGACAAGACCGAGACCAAGCTCCATCAAGACCGAGACAAGACGGAGACCGAGCGCCATCAAGACCAAGACAAGACCGAGACCAAGTTCCATCAAGACCGAGACAGGACCGAGACCAAGCTCCATCAAGACAGAGACAAGACCGAGACCAAACGCCATCAAGACCGAGACAAGACTGAGACCAAGCTCCATCGAGACCGAGACAAGACCGAGACAAGACTGAGACAAGACCGAAACCAAGCTCCATCAAGATCCATCGAGACCGAGACAAGACCTAGACCAAGCTCCCTCAAGACCGAGACTAAATGCACTCAAGTCCAAGATGAGACCAAGACTGTAAAAATGTGGTCTCGAGGCCAGTTTCAAGTCTAAGACCGAGCACTAGGACATTAGTATTGAAACCGTTCCAAACATCCAGGTTAAAGCGTGTAAAAGTGAAAGTCTGTATTCAGGTCATGGCACCTCTCATCTGTATTGTTTTTTTTACAGTGGTTGTGCCTCCTAAACATATTTCATAGATTATTTCTCAAAGGAGGAAGTATTGCACCATGAAAAGAGCGCCCCCTGGAGCTGTGTCATTAAAAGTCCTGTGTACACTCTTTCTATTATTCACTGGCAGCGTCACAAACAGCTCGGGCCGGGCCTTAGCATTAGTGTTAGCCTCCTGTGTGTCAGGTGGGTTTCGTCAGCTCGCTCTGGCATATGCTAATGCTCCTCTTTGAACTCTTTCAAAAGAAATAAAAAAAGCCCGTATTAATTTTTGATGAGGCCGTCCGCGTTTGGAAACACAGCTCGTCTGCAAAGAATGAAAAGAGCAAAAGTTACAAAGTTTGGCTCCAACGTCAAAATGTGCAAGAAATTCTAAATGTTGCGAGTCATAACAACACAGAACATTATTATGTGTACACAACACAACACAATACTCAGTGGGTGTGTGTGTGTGTAACAGAGACGCAGGGTTCTAGCACTGCAGCTAATTCATGTTGTCACCACACTGTGTGCACTTTTCTTTATTGATATAGCTCAAGATCAGTCTGAAACTCTAAATCTCTGTCCTGTCAGTGGAGCTTTTTTAGCAAAAGTTTTGAGTTTTTTTAGTTTTTAGTTTTAGTTTTAGTTTTAATTTTTGATTTTGAGGCTTTTGACAGCCCTAGTTCTAACTCGATTGACTTAACATTATAATTTATGAATTACGTAGCTAAAAGGAAAAAAAATAAAAATTAAAAAATAGTTATTGATGCCAAAACTCATCAAATCTTCTCATGATCAAGTTTGGAAATATCACAACAACAACAAGTGGACAACTGGACTATTTTTCAGTGTTGGAAATGTAAAAATGTAGTTTTTATGATCACACTAGAGCGATCGCCCTGTAACTGTAAGATCAACAGTTTGGTTCCAGTTCCAGACCCGTGCATGCTTCAGGTTTGATGGTTGGCTGTTGGTGCACATTAGACCATTCTGTTCAAAAGTCCCGGTAAAGTCTCGTCTCATCTTGTCGTCATGTTTGTGCAGATGGAGCAGGCGGCTCAGTCCTACGTCTCGTCCGATGAGGATGACATGATGGAGGGTCTGGAGGACAGGAAGTACCCCGGAGAGGTCACGACCCCAAGTTTCAAACTCAAGTTCCACCCCAAAGACGCCAAGAAGGAGCTGCTCTCGTGAGTCTATACTCCCGTGTTTCCCAAACTCTTTTTTTCTGCGGACCCATATTTTAAAAGTCACAAACCTTAGCGACCCAAGTCAATAGACATTATTGGTAAATCACAAAATAAAGGTGGATTTGAGCTAGTGCTGTCATGCGATTAAAAAAATTGAGAGATTAATTAATTATGATCTGTAATTAATTAATCTAATTAATCTCTTTTTAATCTCACCTAAAAATTGCTGAAAAAAGCCTTCAATTTGAGGTATTTTCATTTAAATTCATTATTACATTATTGTGGCAGATCAAAAGACTAATATAGATAAAAAAAAGTGACTTTATAAAGTCATTTATTGTTTAACAAATCTCTCCAATTTGGCTGTTGAGCCCAAGTCTCCATGAATAAGAAACTGTTTGTTGTAAAGTAGCAAAGACGAGGAAATCTGAACAGAATAACTTTTGTCTACTTAAAGACAATAAAAAGTCCAGTCTTTCCTTAACCATATTAAAAATATTATTGATAGAGAAATACTTTATATATGAGATCACTGGTTTTAGTCCTTGTTTTAGTCCTGGTTTAGACCTGCTTTAGTCCTACTTTAGTCCTAGTTTAGTCCTGGAATGGGTTAGTCCTGGTTTTAGTTCTGGTGTTAGTTCTGGTTTAGTCCTGGTTTAGACCTGGTTTAGACCTGGTTTTAGTTCTGGTTTTAGTCCTGGACTGGGTTAGTCCCGGTTTTAGTCTCGGTGTTAGTTCTGGTCGGTGTTTTACCTGTGCACTGCTGCCTCTGTTCTACTGGCTCTTCGACCTCGTCCATTGTGACTGACGCCGCCAACGTGAACATGACGTTTACATCGCTCTTACTGCACGCGTTTTGTGTGGGTTTCCAGCAATGAGTGGAATTACCGAAATAAAAAAGTTTATAAATGTGTTTTTGTGTGTGTGTTGTTGTCCCAACAACACATAAAAACAGATTTTATAATAAAGCAACTCGCATATAGAAACAGTAAAGTGAGAAAATGAGATTAACGCGATTAAAAAACATAACGCGCTAAATATGACTGTAATTAATTAATCGTAATTAACGCGATAATTTGACACCCCTAATTTGAGCATTATTGAACATTAATGAGAATATTTTATTGTTGACTGAGCGATCATGTCTCTGAACAATTAGTAATACTCAAGTTTTAAACAATGAAAAACATTCACTGAAGCAGCAATAAAAGGATCCATAAGTCACCTGTTTGGACATTAAACACAGAACATTTCTTTTTCTTTTCAACATTCAATTGAACCAGCAATTTTGGAACAAAATAGTCTGTATATTGCAGACCTACATGCCCAGTCTTTAGGAAACAATGCTCTACACAATCTACAGTATATCTGCATTAAACCTGCTGTTGTGATTGAGCCTTACCACTGGACCAGTCACAGAGCAGCATTGTGGTTTGGGTGGAGCTAAAGGTAAAGTGCCCAAATGAACCAAAACAAATATGGCGACATGGTGTATTTCCACAGAAACACAGAATTTTTCTGTGTAGAAGTCAGAGGACGTAAAGTTCTATCAGCGTGAGTTTAAATCTGATTCAACAGAAGGATTTGATGCCCCAAATCTTACATTTCAAGTTATTTTATTCAAATATTCAAGTCATTTTAATATGTTTCTCTATTTCAGGTGCCCCACTCCAGGCTGTGACGGCAGTGGACACATCACCGGAAACTACGCCTCTCACCGCAGGTATGTGTCAGATGCCCTCCCATCCTCCTGTGTCCTTGTGTGTGTCAGACGCCCTCCCATCCTCCTGTGTCCCTGTGTGTGTCAGATGCCCTCCCATCCTCCTGTGTCCCTGTGTGTGTCAGATGCCCTCCCATCCTCCTCCAGGTCAAATGCCTCTAGTCAGTCTGCAGATGTTGTGTCAGTTCAGTGGGAGAATGGACCTTGTCACTGATACAAATGATACAGAATTCTTAGCTTTGGCCTAATATTTCACTTTTGCTAATGAACTTGAACTTGAACTTAACCCTTTATAAAAGCTTCTTGCACTGTCCTCTTCCTCCTGAACGACCTTGTCACTTGGCTATGCGTTCTTTACTGCAAAAATGATATTTCTGAGTTGAAATGACTTGAATTCTTGACTCTGGCGCACTTACTCACTTGTCTCATCTCTCCTCACCCTTTGCTCCCTTCCTCCCTCGCCCCCTCTCTCCTTGCTCTTTTGCCTCCTTAATCCCTCTCTCCTCGCTCCCTTATCTCCTTCCTCCCTTCCTCCCTCACCCCTCTCACTCTGCTCTCTTACCTACCTTGGTCCCTCTCTCCTTACTCCCTCACTCCTTCTCCTTGTTCCCTCACTCCCTCCCTCCTTGCTCCCTCTCCTTGCCTCCTTGCGTCCTTGCCTCCTTCAGTCTTTCTGGTTGCCCCCTCGCCGATAAGAGTCTCCGGTCCCTCATGGCTGCCAACACTCCTGAGCTCAAGTATGTTTCTCTCTCTGTCTCTTCTCTTACACTGAACTTAAAGGGATTCAGCACAGTGTCACAATTTGGTTTAAGATGATTATAAAAAATAAAAATCAGCCTCAACCACAGCCAAAATGAGAAAAATCGTATCATTATAAAAATTCTGGGGTCATCTCTATTTCAAATTCGTCTGACCACTTTTTTCTTTGCCTTCATCTGTTGCATTGTCTCCTGCTCTGTAAGACTCACACTTCCAAAGCTTTTTCTCTCTTTATTTTGTATTATTCATTCACTCCACATTCAGACTAAGGCAAGGTATACATGAAGTGTCTTGCCCAAGGACACAATACCTACTAGAGATTTAATAGTGATTCATGCATGTTTGAGCAATCTTTAATCATTTATTTTCAAGACACCATTCCGCCCATCATTGCCAGTTTTAGTTATGATTTTCTTAATCTGTGATACACGTAGGGTTCAGCAGCGTCACGTCATCATTTTGGTCCAAATGTATAAAAACCCTCTGTTCTAGTGTGATGTGCAGCTCTCCACAGGAGGAGCCCACAGCCTGCTGCGCTTTGTTGCCATGACGTTTATGGCAACATCAGCTCCCATTCGACACCACCACCAGTTTTCCAACTGTTTCTTTTATCATCTTAGATGAATATTATGATTTAAAATGTGCAAATTATAAAATACTGATCCACAGATGTCATAGTTTAGAACGGGGTCTCTAACCTTTTTCCTCTGCTGCCTCTGCCTCTACCTTTACAAAAGGAAAATGCCAGAGAGCTACTCATTTTAGTAACTGCAAAAAAAGGAGAAAGTATAAGAGCCACGGTGAGCCTTGGATGGGGTCAGGGTTCCCACTCTTTTTCACTAACAAAATTTCAAAACTTTTCCATGACTTTTTCATGACCTAAAGTGAAATTTCCATGACTTTACATATGTAAAATTGATCAGACTTTTAGGGCTAAATATGAAATGTTAACCCTTCCCACTCACCTTATGGTTTGGGATTATAGTTTTTAACATTCAAAATCCTGTCAGTGCATTTATTGTCGTCTCTTTTAAACAAAAGGTGCACACGTTCGGAAATAACCATAATAGCCTCATGAGAACTTAACAGAACTGAAGCTGGAGTTGCATGAATGAGATACTAAAATTCCATGACTTTTCCAAACCTGGAAAATGACATTTTCAATTTCCATGACTTTTCCAGGATTTCCATGACTGTGGGAACCCTGTGGGGAACAGTTAGAAGCTTATAAAACATAAACCATTATCCATTCATTAGAAAAAAATGACACATTTACACTGTAAACAATCAGATTTTAGTCATTAAGCACAATAGATATAATCCAGAAATCCCTTGGCGAGCTGTTGGAGGGGGTGGAGAGATACTGGTGGCCCGTGAGCTACAGGTTGAAGACCCCTGGATTGCACACACAGGCACTGTGGGTCTGATTTAAGTGCTGAAGTTCTAAGCATTGAGTGAGCTGCAGGTTGATAAAAGCTTCTTCTTCTTTGACATTTCATATAAGACGTGCTCTCTGTGATTTGACTTTCACAGTTGCACCAGTGCATTCTCCAAAAGTATATTAACTTTAAGCAAACTTAAATTTGAAAAGACCAAAGGGACGTGTGCACAAACATGTAAATAAACCATATGATGGAAGTTCTACTGCTGCGCATTTATACTTAAAACACAAAGCATTTTAAGCATTCATCCTGCTTATCTTTACCTAAATAGCAAACCCTTCCTTAAATGAAACTCTCTGCTCTGTTTTGTGCCAGATGCCCTACCCCCGGCTGCGATGGCTCCGGTCACATCACCGGAAACTACGCGTCTCACCGAAGGTAAACGTCCCCGACATGGACGCCCTCCAAACACATGAGCGCACCATGACAGAGACAGAGAGGTGTAGAGACAGTTCTGCTAGAGCCAGACAGGAACGCACCCACACACGACTCAACGGCCCACAAATCATATGTACACGATCGGAAATGACTTGGACTCCTTTTATTGAAGTTGATTTGAGAAGATTTGACTTGGAGATCTTCTTTTACTTACATGTACCTTTTGTCATTTTAAAGATATGGATTCCGTACATGTTTTGTCTTATTTTAAAATCAGTGGAATGACTGAATAAATGTAAAGAAAATGTATAAATAATATTAACATTCTGCCCCTCTTCTGACACTCTTACTTTTTTATTCTTTTGCACTTGAAGATAAATATTTCAAAATGAATTATCTGCCACTGGAGTGATGTCAGTATAGTGAAGAAATTCTTAAATGTAACTTGTCAAAACGACTTAAATCAAAATTGAAACTGTGAATTCAAGTCATTTTCGATCGTGTAGATATTGTTTTTGCCGATGCATTTTCACATATCATTCATTGAGGCGCTTGACTTGTATTTTAAATAAACCTTTGTGCAGTTATGATTTCTTCTTTATTCTTTTCTTGCTCCTTTTTGCTCAGCGGACGTGTTCTTAAAGTCACCCCCTCCATACTTTGTGCTTTCAGTCTCTCTGGGTGCCCGCGTGCCAAGAAAAGTGGAATTAAAACTCCTACCAAGGACAACCAGGAGGATTCGGAGCTTTTAAAGTTCGTACCGCTCAGAAAGCCTATGTCTTTTCTTAGCGATACTGACGGTAAAACGAAAGAATGCAAAACAGACAGACAGATAGAAAGAGAGAGAGAGTAGGACACTTAAAGGGCCCATATTACGCTATTTTCTGATCTATGTTCTGATGTTGTTTCCTCATCACAGACACACCTGGAGTTGTGTTTTGTTTCATTCACACATGTTTAACACACAAACCTGCACATTTATATTATGAGTTCTTCTCTCAAACTGAAAACACTCTGTCCCACCTTGTGATGTCATGTGGTAATACAGGCATACATGCTCCCCTGGCGGCACGGTGGCTGAGTGGCTAGCACTCATGCCTCACAGCAAGCTCCGGTTTCCCCCATCAACCCAAAACATGCTCCAGGTCTCCATGAACAGTTGATAACAGTTGATAGTCAAGGTCAGTTAAATACAATCAATACAATCATTGTGTGTCCTTAGACAAGACACTTCACCCACATTGTGGTGGTGTGTGTGTGAGTGATGGTGGTGGTCAGAGGGACCGATGGCGCTGATTGGCATGGCAGCTGCACTTCTGTCAGTCTGCCCCAGGGCAGCTGTGGCTACAATAGTATCTTAACATCACCAGGTATAGAATGAATGAATAATGCTGAATAATGCTCTGTAAAGTGTCTTTGGGGATAAAAAAAATGTCTTTGAAAAGTGCTATATAAATAAAGACTTACTTACTTACTGTGTTTTTGGAATTGCTTGTCTATTGAAAACTACAATTTCATGACATCACAAGGTGGAACAGAGCATTTGGAGCTTTGGAGATGTAGACAGACTAATAATAAAGAGTTACTCAAACATGTGTGAATGAAACAAAACACAACTGTATGTTTTTGAGGAGGAAACAACATTCTAACATGATTTAAAGCTCACAGAGTGTGTGTAATACAGGACCTTTAATACTGTGACTTACAGTAGATCCACAGTGAGAGTACAGCAGGCTGCAGACTCTATACAGTGGGCTCAATGCTTTTGCACACATGGCTGTTCACTAGCTGCATGTTTCTATGTGATGTTTATAATCTGAATATACAGAAAACTGTAGTTAGCAATAAGTGTGTGGATATTTTGTGGTTCTCATTTATAGAAATTATATTTGATTAAAATGTAACACAAATGTACAACAGTGTAAATACAAAAATTGTTTAAAATTTGACTTGATGATTTGGATTAGTGGCCAAGAGCAGTAAGGAAAGGCTGGGACTTTTTATACAATAATTCTAAAAAATCTAGATATGATTCTTCAGTCTAAATTGCTTTAAATAATTGGTTAGAAATGGAATAAAATCAGTTTAGTGGCTAGTTTTGTGTATTTATATAAAGAATTACTAATTTAAATTTCTCTTTTCTAACATTTCATTATTTTGTCCACTCCACCTCTCTTCTTCTTTCTCTCTTTCCTCTATTGCTCTTCCAAACTCTTTCTTCTCTTTCTTTCTGCCCCCCTCTCTCTTTCTTTATTTCTCTCTCTGCCCCCTCCCCTCAGATGCCCAGTGCCCGGGTGCGACAGCTTGGGGCACATCAGTGGTAAATACGCCACCCATCGCAGTGCCTACGGGTGCCCGCTGGCCGCACGCAGACAGAAAGAGGGGCTTCTGAACGGGACCCCCTTTAACTGGAAGGCCTTTAAGAGCGAGGGTCCCACCTGCCCCACTCCGGGGTGCGACGGCTCGGGTCACGCCAACGGCAGCTTCCTCACCCACCGCAGGTACGACAGGAGACTCCGTTACATCCTGTTCATACACAACATGGCCAGATGCAAGATGATGATACTTTGTCAAGAAGAGAAGTGACTTAGCTGAACTGCAAACAAGTCCCTCTGCAATAACATTACAGTCACAACATTCACTGTTTTTGAAAGAAATATCCAAAAGGATGATCCACAAATGCTGAACCTTCTCATTATTTGTTTGACATGGAGATATGAACCATAAAGGTCAACAAAACGTCAACAAATCTGCATCTGACAGTCACACAGCAAATCCACAAATCTTAATATCTTTGTAATTCTTGGGCGTATCCACATGAAACTAAAACTGGCACAAAGTTCAACCCCTTCTCTGTCAGGGGAACTAAAGTCAGAACCTTTTTTCACAATTACTACAGAAAGCGGAGTCATCATTCAACCCCGAAATTTCAGGTGAAAGGACTTCGACCCACAAGATTAACATGACAAGATTGTGGAGCGATTTCCAAACAAATAATGAGAAGGTTCAACATTTGTGGAGCAGAAGTTCGCAGAGGTTGTAAGGTTCAAAAACTGAATCTTGCAACCTCTTGTGTCTTCTCTCTTGTGTGTTGCTTAAATTACCTTGAGTTTTTTTTTTAGTTCAACATAACTTTCACAGACGTCTTCTCTGAAATGTTTGTATTTTGTTCCAAAAAGTGAAGTTTTCTTGGCTTTTTGACTTCACTTGAGAACAATGCAAATTTATGGAAATACAGACGATTCGAATCAAGTAATTATAATTCAGCCAAACACCCACCACACAATGAATGAAACACTGTGTAATGTGGTTTTGTTTTTCTTAATTTGACAAACTTATGTTACAAAGTTGGACGTGGGGACTGTGCAGAAAGTGAGGTTAAAGGAGACGTCAGTTGAATCTGCAAAGGAAAATAAAAACAAGAGTGAAGTCCAAAAGGTGCAGGAGACATTTTGTTTAGAATAAAGTTATTTACATCAAATTAAAAGTGTTGCCACGATACTAAAACTCAGGAAGGACTCAGGAAGGATGCTCTACACCAATTCTGACACTATTTAGACACTATTTCCAGTAGGTTCATAGTGGTCCATGTGTGTATATATTAGTCTCTGTGCACTTCTACTTGTTCTGATTCAGCTCAACATCATTCTAAAGATATTCAGCAAAGCTTCATTTCTGTCCCGTCAATGGGACTGTGTGAGATTTAGCACCGATTTGTATCTGAATTTCAATACTTTTTACTGCTTGTCTCGATGGTAATGCTATTACTTTGCCTAAAATGTTCCACAAAATAGCTTTTAGCAATTGCTGGGTTTCAGATGACAGCGCAGCATTCTACAGGCCAGTCGAATCGGCAGATTTTAGATTCCAAAATTTGATGATGTCATACTCTCAGAAGTGGGGCAAGTTCCAGGTTTCTCTATAGCAGGGATCTACATCCTTTTTCCTTTGGTGAGCTACTGTTATGAAATGAAAATACCAGAAAGCTACTCATTTTGAGAAAGAATTAAAGTCACAAGAGTACAGTTAGATGCTTATTAAACATAAACCATGATCCATTTATTATTCCAGAAGTTAAGCATCAAAATCACACATTAACAGTCAGAGGCGGTGCTACCATTAGGCAAAAGTACGTGGCTGCTTAGGGCCCCCAAACCAGGAGGGGCCCCAACTAATTGCTCTCAGTGCCTCTAATGGCCAAGGCCTCCGAGAAATTTTTTTCTCAATATGGCATAAAATGAGAGTAGTTTACTTTTTTTTTTAAATATCCAAAGAAAATAAATAATAATAATCATATGTAATGGATGTAAACAAAAATTTAATTGTACTAGTAAAAAAATAAAACAACTTTCAGCTCTTTTTACTAACTAAGAAGATTCAAGAGTGTCAAGAACAGTGGAGAAAACAGACAATAAATAAATAAATATATATATTTTTTTAAAAAGGTGCATTATAGTGAGGGCCCCAAACTCAAGTTCACCCAGGGCTCCCAAATTGCTAACTCCACCACAGTTTACAATAATTAATCAGATTTTGGTTATTAAGCACATTACATATAATTCTGAAATCCTTTGGCGAGCGACTTAGAAGAGCTACTTTCCTATTAATATGTTGAGATGGCATTTAAAACCCGACAGTACAGTCAGAGCAGATAACATGAGTCTTGTTCAAATGCAGCTTTGTGTTGATACAGTGAGCTCTGGGGTCCAGTCACTAATAAAAATGATTCAACACTTGTGAATTTACCTTTTGGAGATTTAATGGTAAAGTTCAATGTAATCAATAAGTGGTTTTTAGACTCGAGAATGTGATGATGTCATATTCCCAGATGAGGGGCAGAAGACAGTTTTTGTTTTTGTTATTTTTATTGATTATATTCTACTTTGCCATGAAATATCTAAAAGGTAAAGCCACACATTTTGGATCTGATCTTTTCTATTATTGACTATACCCAAGAGCTCACTGTCTTACAACACAAATCAGTTTTTTAACACTGTACATTACACCTGCTCCCCATCTGTGTGAAATGTTATTGGCCTATAGAATGTTGTGATGCCATCTGTGTAGTTTTCATATTCTAGAACAGAGTAGACATGTCAAACTCATGCCCAGGGACCAAATTTGAAATATAATTATATTTCCCCACGAGATCATATCAAATGTGTATTAGAGCTGCTCACCGGCTACAGATAGACTATAGAGTCATTATTTATTTAAAATGTTGTTATTATTTTATATTATGTTTGTTCTGGATTCAATATTTAAGCAAAACTATTATTAAACATTTATTTTAATAAGAAAAGGTTTAACATTACATATATCAAATAAAGAGAAAACATGTAGATGTTGTTGAAATTTTTCAATAAATATTTAGTTTGGCCCACGACTTAGTCCCAGTTTTTAATTTTGGCATCTGTCAATTTGAGTTTGACAGCCCTGTTCTAGAATGTAATGAAGTCATATTTCCAGATGACGGGTAAGAGACAGTTGCTCCTATTGATTACACTGTACTTTGCCATGAAATATGGGAAAAGTAAATTCCCAAATATGGAACCTGATTGTTTCTATTATTGCCTAGACCCAAGACCATGCTGTATTACAACAAGAACTTGTAGTTGAACAATATTAATTTTAGTCTAGCCCCATCTGTATTCTATAAGTGATACTGGGCTCTAAAATGTTGTGAGTATGACATCATGACATTGTAATCTAAGGCCCCGTCCACACTACTATGTATTCTAGTCGTTTTTGTTGCGGATGCAGTGTTTGTCACATCAATCCGATGGGAAATGACTCCACAGACGGAACGATCTGGTGCTGCCAGCTCCCATGAATTCATCTGAGTACAGAACTGATCTGACACTGTGTGGACGCCTGAAAACACTGATACTCTGATGTAGGTCTATGCTCCACGAAGTAATTCACCGCCAAAACTCTAAGAGGCTAGAATATGATCTATAATATGGTCTATGCGCAGTGTTGGGAAGGTTACTTTTAAAATGTATTCCCCTACAGATTACAGATTACATACCCCAAAATGGAGTTTGTAACATAATCCATGAAATTATTTAAGGTGAGTAACGTAATCTGAATACTTTGGATTACTTGATTTGCTGTAGAGTAGCAAAGACCTGGATGGTTTAGTCCTGGTTTAGACCTGTTTTAGATCTGGTTTAGACCTGGTTAAGATCTAGTTTAGTCCTGGTTTAGACCTGGTTAAGATCTAGTTTAGTCCTGGTTTAGACTTGGTTAAGATCTAGTTTAGACCTGGTTTTAGTCCTGGTTTAGACCTGGTTTAGATCTAGTTTAGGCCTGTTTTTTGTCCTGGTTTTAGTCCTGGTTTAGACCTGGTTTAGATCTAGTTTAGTTTCTGGCAACGAGTGGAATTACCAAAAAAAACAAAACAAAAAGAGGGGGGGGGGGGGGGGGGGACTGGGGGGATTTAGCCCAAAATGTGAAAACTGGAAAACAGGAAAATACCACCCTGTAATCCATTTATTTCAACAAAGTAACTGTAATCCAATTACCACTCACCGAAACAGTAACTGTAACCAAATACAGTTACTCATAATTTGTACTCTGATTATGTAACTCCAGTACATGTAATCTGTTACTCCCCAACACGCCAGTGTTGGGGAGTGACCTGGAGACGTATAAGCTCTGAAAAATTTAACATGAACCATCTCCAACACGACAGAAGCACAGAACAGACTCAGCATCAGCAGAACACCCCTCTGTCACAGAGAGAACACTCATATTCCACTGAGTCGTGTCCTTTAGTCCGACAGAAGCTGAACCGCATCAGCAGCACAACAGCGAGCTTTTTTTTTTGGAGCACTTAGTTTATGCAAATTAGCCATGCTCAAAGCTGTGTGGATAGGGAAGGCTTGCGGACACAGAAACAACGTGTCTGGACGCAAATCGATTCCGATACGGTGATTCGTTTCAGTGTAAACATAGCCTAAACACCACCAATTAACCACCTGTAGTAGAATAAAGGCAAGACTGATCCATTAAACACCATCTTGAAGTTAATGCCATACTGTGAAACATTCCAGGCAAAACACTAACATTTCCATGGAGACCAGCAGGAGGCAGACCCCCATAGAAAAGCGACACCATGCATCTTTAACTTTGCTGTGTAATTTTCTTTCCTTTGTTAATTCTGGTACATTTATCACAGCGTTCACTTCTGTAAAAGTCCCAAAGCACAATATTAAATAATAGTTTTTCAGATGTGTATTGACGTGTGTGTTGTGTTTGTGTGTGCAGTCTCTCAGGATGCCCCAGAGCCTTGTTCGCCAAGAAGAAAGCAAAATACTCAGCGGAGGACTACCTCAGCTCCAAGTTCAGGGCCGGAGATGGTGAGGGGAAACCAAATCAGGATTTTAAACACGCAAAAATAATAAACGTTTAGGATACGAGAGTAGGCAAAAACATGGGAACTTTTAAGTCATTCCAAACAGCTTGTAGTGGTCCAAAGTTTTTATTTTAACGACAACTAGCATACACTTCCATGCACTTCCTGCTTCTCAGACAATAAATCGCTTCATAATCATTTGCAGACTATACACATCAGACTTATTTTGACCTCAAGAGGCCGTCTGACACTCATTGATGTCGGGGGATGGGAGGGCATCTGACACGCATAACAAAATAACATACCGACATGTCCCGTAAAAATAAATTGCCCTTTTAAACATGTTGCTGTGACAGGCTTAGACAGCGTCAGTGGAGATCAAATTCAAAGGAAATGACATGAAACCGGACGCGCTTACAAACTGTTGCATCATTTTACCACCCAAACTCAGGATGCAGGGTTAGAGCCTTGTTTTCCATCCTAAAACAGCGTATTCAGACCGGGGTTTAATAAAAGAAATGAAACGTTATTGACAAAATCTGTCATCTTTGTTTTCAATGAGATTTGAGAGATAGAGATGCATTAGCTAAAACAATATAAAAGTAAACAAAAGAACTGGGGAATTATCCAGTAAACTGACAGGTCACTACTGTTGAATACATTTATCACAACAGTGTCAGATAAAGCTGAATAATTTAGGAAAAGATTATCGAATTGTGATTTTTCTGACAATGTATGTGTCAATAATAGAATTCAGCTCAAATTTGACATTATAAACATGTTCCGAAGAATGGACCGAAAAGGCTGAAATCTAAACTGACAAACTAATACAAGAATCACATTTTAGAACATGTTTATACAGATTTAAGCTACACGTTTGGCAGATGTTACCCCTTGTTTGTGATGCGGACTGTATTGTAATGCCGTGCGTGTTTTCAGTTCTGGACAATGATGAGGACATTAAACAGCTCAACAAAGAAATCAACGACCTGAACGAATCCAACAACGAGATGGAGGCAGACATGGTCAACCTGCAGACTCAGGTAGGAGAATTCTAATTGCTGGACTACGGTCTCTAAAACACACACGAAAAGACCTTGCATAATTATAATTAGGGGTGTCAAATTATCGCGTTAATTGCGATTAATTAATTACAGTCATATTTAGCGCGTTATGTTTTTTAATCGCGTTAATCTCATTCTTAATCTCTAACTTTAGTGTTTCTGTATGCGAGTTGCTTTATTATAAAACCTGTTTTTATGTGTTGTTGGGACAATAACACACACACACAAAAACACATTTATACATTTTTTTTATTTCGGTAATTCCTCTCATTGCCGGAAACCCACACAAAACGCGCGCAGTAAGAGCGATGCAAACATCATGTTCACGTTGGCGGCGTCAGGCACAATGGACGAGGTCGTAGAGCCAGTAGAACAGAACCAGCAATGCACAGGTAAAAACACATTCGTGTCTTGGAAATTATTCTCCCGACGTGAAATATTAAAGAAAATAACAAATATAAAATTGCCTACAACTTAAATGTCACTGGTGAAAACAACCTGCATAGACTCATGATGTCATGATGCTGCACTACTGTCCTATACACACACAAACACACACACAAACACACATACACACAAACAAACACACACAAACACCTTCATCATCGTCATTAACCTAAGAACGTGCAGACCACGTTTCCTTCCGTAGACACTGCGCGGACACCGACGTGCTCCCGTGAGCCGTGTGTGGATCATATTTTCTCGCGTACGCTGCGTAAACCGCACTTCCTCCTGTGCGCCTCTAAACCAGAACTAACACCAAGACTAAAACCAGGACTAATCCAGTCCAGGACTAAACCAGGTCTAAACCAGGACTAAACCAGGACTTAACCAGGACTTAACCAGAACTAACACCAGGACTAAAACCAGAACTAAAACCAGGACTAAACCAGGACTAAACCAGAACTAACACCAGGACTAAAACCAGAACTAAAACCAGGTCTAAACCAGGACTAAACCAGGACTAAACCAGAACTAACACCAGGACTAAAACCAGAACTAAAACCAGGACTAAACCAGGACTAAACCAGAACTAACACCAGGACTAAAACCAGAACTAAAACCAGGTCTAAACCAGGACTAAACCAGGACCAAACCAGAACTAACACCAGGACTAAAACCAGGATTAATCCATTCCAGGACTAAACTAGGACTAAAGTAGGACTAAAGCAGGTCTAAACCAGGACTAAAACCAGGACTAAAACCAGTGATCTCATATATAAAGCATTTCTCTATCAATAATATTTTTAATATGGTTAAGGAAAGACTGGACTTTTTATTGTCTTTAAGTAGACAAAAGTTATTATGTTCAGATTTTCTCGTCTTTGCTACTTTACAACAAACAGTTTCTTATTCATGGAGACTTGGGCTCAACAGCCAAATTGGAGAGATTTGTTAAACAATAAATGACTTTATAAAGTCACTTTTTTTGTTCTATATCAGTCTTTTGATCTGCCCCAATAATGTAATAATGAATTTAAATGAAAATACCTCAAACTGAAGGCTTTTCTCAGCAATTTTTAGGTGAGATTAAAATGAGATTAATTAGATTAATTAATTACAGATCATAATTAATTAATCTCTAATTTTTTTTAATCGCATGACAGCACTAATTATAATATAAAGATAACCAATAAACACACATAATAAAGAGTGAACCATTTCTGATTTTCATCACTAATATACATTCATAGATATTCTTTATTTAAAAAGCGAAAGCAGTCACCATAATTAAACTTTTATTTGGTTTAGTGCTGTCAAGCGATTAAAAAAATTTTGAGATTAATTAATTATGATCTGTAATTAATTAATCTAATTAATCTCTTTTTTTAATCTCACCTAAAAATTGCTGAGAAAAGCTTCAACTTGAGGTATTTTCATTTGACTTCATCATTACATTATTTTCATACTATCATTAACATTTTTATAGAAGTATCATCATTATTATTACTGTTACTAATCTGCATAAATAAACTCAACTTTACAACATATAAACATCACCACTCTAGAGCCACATCAGCCCGTTTGACATTAGAATGTGTTTAATGCAGATTTGCACAAGTCTCACAGAAACAAAACTTAAAACCACATGGCTCATTTGCATGAACTAAGTGGAGAAAAGAGAGAAAAAAAAAAAACGCTCTTGTGCTGATGTGGTTCAGCTTCTACTAAAGGACACGACTCAGTGGAATATAGATGTTCTCTCTGTGACAGAGGATGTTGATGCTGAAGGTGAGTCTGTTCTGTGTTTGTGTCACGATGTTTTCAGAGATCAGACGTGTGCAGGTTTATCACTGATGCGACGAGAACAGGAATGAAAATTAGGCTACAATTCTTTGTGGGAGCGAGTGGAGCAGGACTGCACAGTGCAGGACTGTGTCCTAACAACACATAAAAACAGATTTTATAATAAGGCAACTCGCATACAGAAACAGTAAATAGAGATTAAAAATAAGATTAACGCGATTAAAAAACATAACGCTCTAAATATGACTGTAATTAATTAATCGCAATTAACGCGATAATTTGACACCCCTAATTTGGTTACAGAGAAAAATCCCGCTCACTGTCTTACTTGCAAATTGTGAAATTTCTTAGGACAAACCGTACAACTTTTTGGCTCTAGGCCTTCGTCAGGCAAACACCTATGTTCTTGGGCTGCTCCCTCTCCTCCAACGCACCCGTCTCAAGTAATTGATGTGTGAAGTTCTGATTCTTTTAAACCTTTATTTGGTTAAAATGTGTTTTGACTAGATGGTTAATAAGAAAAAAATAATTGTAAGTCTGTTTTCCCCAGTAAATAAAGATGGAGAGAGTGGGCATCCCTGTCTTGTTCCCCTGAGATTTCTAGCTTATTTCTTATTGCAAAATGTAAAATGTAAACCAAAATTCAGATGCACAACAATAGCAAATGTATTAATTATCTGCCCCCATGACTTACAGAGTGTTGTGAAGTTATGTGACCTAACATTAAACCGAAGCATATTTAGATATCAGTGTCATATTGCTCGTTGACCTGTACTAACTGTAGCTGTTTTTTTTTTTTTTGTTGTTGTTGTTTTTCTGCAGATCACGTCGATGGAGAAGAACCTGAAGAACATCGAGCATGAAAACAAAATGATTGAGGAGCAGAACGAGGCTCTGTTCATGGAACTGTCGGGTCTGAGCCGCGCCCTCATCCGCAGCCTGGCTAACATTCGCCTGCCACATATGGTGAGAATCAAACCCACAACCTCACTTTAGAGCACTTTTTAGAACACCGTCTAACACTAAAGACACATTTGGTTCAAGATTATAAAGCAGAATGAGCCTCACATGAGTCTTTCATTTGGGTTGCCCATTTCAAAGCTGAAATCCAGTTGGTTTAAACTTAAAATGCCTCTCTTTGGTCCAAATGATCAGCTCTTCTAAGTCTGAGGCCATGGTTCTCGACCGGAAAAAGGTGGCTTGCCCTCTCTGGGTGGGTGGAGAGTCTCTGCCTCAAGTGGAGGAGTTCAAGTATCTCGGGGTCTTGTTCACGAGTGAGGGGAGGACGGAACGTGAGATTGACAGGTGGATCGGTGCAGCGTCTGCAGTGATGCAGTCGCTGTATCGGACCGTTGTGGTGAAGAGGGAGCTGAGCCGAAAGACGAAGCTCTCAGTTTACCATCAGTCTTCATTCCTACTCTCACCTATGGTCATGAGCTCTGGGTAATGACCAGAAGGACTTGATCAAGCATTCGAAATGAGTTTCCTCTGCATAGTGGCTGGGCATCTCCCTTAGAGATAGGGTGAGTAGCTCAGTCACACGGGAGGAGCCCAGAGTAGAGCCGCTGCTCCTCCACGTCAAGAGGAGCCAGTTGAGGTGGCTCGAGCATCTGTTCTGATGCCTCCTGGGCGTCTCCCTCTGGAGGTGTTCCGGGCATGTCCCACCAGAAGGAGGCTCCGGGGAAGACCCAGGACACACTGGAGGGACTATGTCTCTGGGCTGGCCTGGGAACACCTCGGGGTCCCCCCGGAGGAGCTGGAGGAAGTGTCTGAGGTGAGGGAAGTCTGGGAGTCCCTGCTTAGACTGATGCCCCCACAACCCAACCCCAGATAAGTGGAAGAAAATGGATGGATGGATGGATGATCCGAATGGTCACTACTTAAACCCCAGCACCTACAGCTAATCCCGAGTGCTAGTGCAGCCTCTCCAGCTCAGGGAGGGAATTCTGGAGGTTCTGAGCTTCCACATGAGGCCTGTCCATACTCTGAGAATGAGACAAACCTGTGTGTGTCCTTTATCTGAAGGTTAAGGGTCTTGGCAACCTTGGTTCTGTTGTAATTGTAGTATCTTTTTTCAGAGTTCAGGCTACATTTACCATTAAGTCTGTGCTATTATTGTGATTATTAGCTATATTTAATTGTTTTCTTTCTCAGCAGGAGCCAATCACGGAGCAGAATTTCGACCGCTACGTGAGCACCCTGACCGACATGTACACCAACAAGGAGTGCTTCCAGAGCCCGGAGAACAAGGCCCTACTGGAGACCATCAACAAGGCTGTGAAGGGCATCAAAGTGTGATCTACCCCCATTCACCCACTATTACCCCGATACCACCCCGATACCACCCTGATACCACCCCGATACCACCCACCATCGCCCGGGGGAACTCCATCAACACTCACAAACAAAAAGGGAATTCAGGTTTTCAAACATGTGGAAAAAATGTACAACAGTCTACCCAGGGAGCACTGAAGAAACGCGGACCAAACTCCACAACCTGCTGCTGTTGGGACGGGAACCAAAATCCTTCAAAAAGAATGAAAATTAATGTTCAACCGAATGGGATTTGATATGCTGTATGTTTACCCATCGTCTATTTTTATGTCCTTAAATGTTTTTTGGAAGACTACAAAAATGTCCGACGAATGCTGGATGGCTCGGGAAAAAAAACGCCATCTCGTAGCAAAAGGCTTTCCGATGAGACAAAATGGAGGAGACGCTCACTTCTGCGCTACGACGACGAACAGCGACGATGCTACGCGGGCTGGATTTAGCACGGAAGTTTCCTCCAAGCAACGCCACAAGCTACCAGATTTACGGTCGCTTGTTTACTATTTATTTTACTAGGACAAATGCATCTTTTCTTTTATTTATTTGAAACTAGCCCTAGTGTACACAACTTGAGTTAGTCATATCAATAGTATTTATGATGGACATAGGAATTGCACTTCGTTTCAATGGATAGTTTTGTGGTACAATAATTATTGTTAAATATGAATTATTTAAATCTGTGAACTTTTAAATTGTAATTTATTAATGCCGTTTATGTTATCAAGGTTTATTTATTTGAAGCAATCTATTTATTATTGTTGACATATTTTTTTGTAACACGAAACAATGCATCTTACTGTTCGGAGCGATGTCTTAACTACATCTCGCGTCAATATTTTAAAAGACTATATAACTTATTGACGTATTTGTTTTGCATACTTTTTAAATAACTTTTTGAGTGCAGATGTTTTATAACAAAAACTTTTTGATAATTTTACAAAACCGTTATTTTTTTTTTTGTTTTCGTCTATTGTTTCATTTTGTCATTGTTTATTTAAAGAAGGGGTATTACACTTCTATGGACTTATTCTAACAGAACGTGTAGAAGATTGTGGCGCGGGGCCGTGGCTGATGTAGGCTTGTGAGCGGAGCATTGCACAGAATCTCACAGGGAACCATAAGGAGGCTTCAATAAGAGCTTGTGAGAGATCGCTACATTACTCAAACATGCATGGATGACACGTAAAACCTCTTCAGGCATGTTTTTGATGAGGGAAAATTAGAACATGGTAGAAACTCCAAAAAGATAAAAATTTGCCTAATACCCCCTCTTTAATTAACTATTATTATTAATTTCTGTTACCGATGCATTTGGAAAACCCACTGCTGAAAAAAGAAAGTATGTATTTATTATTTATTTATATGAAAGAAATGAACTAATAACTGCTGTATATTTATTTTGCTATGTATGTTGTGATGTGATGGTTACGTCTGAGTAGTCTTACAAAACCACTGCTAATGTTTAAATAAAGAACGAGCAAAATCTATGTTAAACGGTTTGGTTACTAGGTCTGCCTCTACCCTGCAAAAAAAAAAAACACATCAAGTCCAGAAAACAACTAGAATACAGATCACTAAATTATTTAAGTGGATTTGACTATTTTAGATTCATTTACCCTTCAGATTTAAATCATTTGTATGTAACGAAATAAGGTCGTTTTAAGTTTAATTTTGTTGCTTTTTAATTTAAAAAAAAAGAAATATTATTGATAAATAATTTTATGTTGCTCTGAGAAACTGTGTTGAAAGGAAGCATTGTCTTTTAAGATGCAAAAACAAAATATACAAGTTCTATATCTGGACCTAATCATTCTAACTAGTCCAAACTACTTAAATCATTTAAATAAATGAGGAGAATTTGCAGTTTTATAACAACAAAGTACAAAAATATTTTTAGTAGAACATGAATGGGGAAAAAAAAAGGTTTCAAATGGGTCTTTTATTAACAGAAACGTGATTTAAAGATTGATTTTTTGCAGTGTAGAGGCCAACAGCTGATTGTAAAAACTCAAAGCTGTCCTGTTCTTTTTGGTTTCTGTGTGGGAGCCATCTTGTGCTTTAGTCAGGTCAAAGTTTAAGTCAAAAATACAAAAAAAAAAATTAAGTAAATAGGTCTGTTGATGTTACCTCTCCGAAGCGCTTTGTAGCGGCCAGCACGGCTCACCCAAACCCTCTGCCACGTGCCCAGCCACACACGGCAAAAAAACACAGGGTCTACAAGAGAGAACACGACTTGAATTCAGAGCTTTATTAAGTCCTCCCAACCAGATTATTATTTTTTTTTTTGCAGTTTCTGGCTTTGTGGTTTAGTTTTTAACACAATGGGCTTAAACATTCACACTAAATCAGTTAAATTCTGGTTCTAAATCAGTTAAATTAAAATCTAAAATATATAATAAAAACATGATTTATATACTTTTTTGTATTCATTTTGGGGTTGAATTTGACCTTAAAGGTTAATATATTTTAAGTGCACATATTTTTGCTTGCTAAATTCTTACAATATCAAAACTTAGATATTAGTTTCAATTTACAGATGTTTTTTTGTTTTTTTTTTCTAAAGCAAAAAAATTTGTGGAGTTTGTTTTGACCACTTAACTGAACTCAACTTTCTGATTAATCAGTTTAAACATGTGCAGACAACTCAAATCATCTAACTGCACTAACTCAGACTGCATTCATACAGGTCCTGGTTTGGTCCTGATGTAGTTTTAGTTCTATGTTTAGCGCTGCTGTCGGTGCAGTGTGCAGAAGTATGAATGCTCTAAATGAAATGAGTTAAATCAACTCAAAGCATCATTCTGAATTCAAGCTCTTTCCCCTGTAGCAGCTGGTCCTTTTTTGCAGTGTAGTGGGTGGCACGGGCAGGTCTCCAGCCGTTTGCAGCTGGACCCCGTGGGCACAGCGCCCCCTTGTGTCGAGCGTCTCTCACACCCGTGTAGCCTTACTCTAGATGTTACTTTAATGCACAAAGTGCCACTGAGACGCTTTGGTTCGATTCTCACTTCTGTAATGTAACTCCAGAGAGCTGTTTCAGATGCCTTTATTTCTCTGCCAAGACGGCCATACATACACAGTATATACATTCTGTACAAATAGATTTTAAAGATGCTATATATATATGAATATAAACATACGTATATTTTTCCAGTGTAATTGTTGACTTCTTGTATTACTTCTCAAAGGATCCCTCTCTGAGACAAAAGGAGAATAAGACCTGCTTTACTGTGGCTTTAACATAACTCTTGGTCAGGCTGCGGCATTCGCTCCAATACTCCGTCCCAAACGTGTTTCCGAATGATGTCGTGCGCTGGGATCGCTGTCGCTCCGTGTTTCTGTGGCGTAGAATGGCGTGTGTGTAATATGTCACATGACATTGACATGTGCTTGTGTCTGTCCGGTCACGTGTGGTGGATGTGGCGAGCCGTGCGGCGCTTTTAGACGATGTAGAATGAACTCTATGTGCACTTTCTGAACCATTGAAATGCCAGCATTTGGGCCGCGACCGCTCGCGCAATAGTTTTCCCCACTAGAGGGCGCTTTGTGACTCGGTTTGTTGTTGTGTGTGGCGTTGTTCAGGCGTGTGGAAAGAGTGTCGCTTTCCAAACAAACCAAAAGATGGCTGTTTGTTAGAGCCTGGGGCAGAGGGGCCCGGGGCCCACTGCAGCCCCACTGAGGGAGTGTGGGAGTGGGACACTGATCCGCCAGACCTCCCTGTATGTGGAGGAGGCGTTTGTCCATCACTGAGAAGAATGTGAAGTCTTTGTTTGTTTGACCTTTGCCCTGGAAACAGTTGTGATGCATTTGGTTAGTACTGCACGAGCAGAGTACAGACTGTGGATCCTCTGCACTGTTTGATATGGCATGACCCCTTTTAAACTGCTTGATGAAATAGTCTCCTGAGGTTTGTAAATGAAAAACAGAGGCCATGAAAGAAGAGCGTTAGAGAATGTCAGCGCGGCGCTGCCGGAGGCGGCGGCCCACGCACAGTTCACTTTCTTATTTACATAAAGTCTGAGCGAAGAACAGGAGGTTTGTTCTAAACACAAATGTAATTTAAAAATCAAACTGGCCAGAGCCCTGCTTCCCTCCAGCTCCTGCAACGAAATGTAGAAAATAATTCAACCCTTGGACCAGACCAGCTCAGACTGAGAGACTCTGTCCAAACATGAGTGTTCCTCCACTGTGTGTGAACCCAAAGCACTGGTCTCCTGTTGTCTCTCCTGTTGTCTCTCCTGTGCCTTCATGCTCATTCACTGTACCATGTTTACAGTCGACAACAACGTCCCCATGCTCCTCCCTGCAGGGTCGCTCCTCCCTGCGAGAAGGCTCCGCCCTCTCCCTGGAGCTGTGTCCCAATAAAACGAGGCAGGCGTCCCGTCTTTACTGTCTTTAGCGCAGGTCAGACGGCACCTTTAGGCGCGCAGGTTTAGACTGTACAGCGCGACATTTCTGGGCTTCAGTGACAGAGAATTGAACCGTCACGCTCCTTCCGTTAGGCTAAAGAAACTGTGATCCTTCTTTTAAATTCAGGTAACCAGCTCTCCGTCGTCCGATAGAAATGCATCCGTGTGCAGGGCATTATTTTCTGTGTATATATTTGTATTAAGGCAAAAACAGTGTTATACTTGTTGTTGTATTGAAAGACAAAATTGTTGAAAAATGAAATAAAAAAAATAGTTTGTGACAAAAAAGTGCCACGGCCAAGGGTTGTCCTGCTAACACATTTTTACAGAGATGAGCTATTTTTACTGCTGATTTTTCTAGGTGTTGATATTTTAAAAAATGACAAAACTTCCAAAATTTCAAGCACTTCAATAGATTTTAAGGATTTTTGTTACTTTTCTAGATGATTCCTTTGCACCGTTTTTGTAAAGCGGGATAATTCTTGGCTGTGCTCCTCATACGTCTTTGTTTTGGTTTTTTGGTTGGACTTTTGGGGTAAAATGTAGTCGGGAGTTTGTGCT